CTTGGGTTTTTTTTTTTCCCCCCCCCTTTACCTCCCTGCTGGTGGTGCTGTGGGGGTGCCCCCTCGCCTTTCGCCAGGTTTTCCCAAGACCCTCAAGAAAAAAACACCCGGGAAAGGGTTTTCTTAACCCATGGGCCCCAAAATTGGTACCCCAAAATTTTTTCCGCCCCCACAAGTTGGAAGCGTTTTTCCCCCCCCCCCCCCCCCCCCCCCCGAGTTCCTTCCAACTGTAACATCACCTTCGCCACTGCCGTGCGGTTGTACAATCCACGTAACCCGTCCCCTCGCCCGCGCTCTGTGTACGATTTTGACTTGTGCTTGCTCGTGTCCAGACCCCCAATTCGGCGCAGCTGTGGAACAATATCGGCATGTGCTTTCTCGGAAAGGTATCGTTGAAGCAATCACTCAATATATCCACCCATCCACAAGTTCAACAGTTTTCCCTTGACCGCCACTACAAATAATGTTCTGTATACGCATCTGCGGGGGGGGTCAACCGAGCGTTCAAGTGTCAAGCGTAGAGTAAGGAGAATGGGGCTGTGTGTTGTGTGGTCCGGAGACTATGGCAAGAAAGGCAACTCGAGCGCGTGGATACCTTCAGACACCAATAGGCCGGGCTGTTACTAAGTGGAGCCAACTCCAATCTATTGATTCTACTTGAGATTGTAAAGGGGGGTCCCGAACGTGCTTCTGAAGCTTGGTTTCTCGCGCGACCAAGGGGACGCCCCATCATCGTCCAACCCGTCCACGAACGGCATGTAGGCATGAATCTATCTACTACCTGCACGAGAGTGAGGCTTGTGCTTCTAGCAAGAGTTGCTTCGCCCGTATGGCACCTCGTCCCGCATGCACCTTTTGTATATTGTTTCTAGCGTCTCCCGCGCGTCTTGTTCTCTCCGAGCTTGTCCTGACCATGCTCACCTGGAGGAAATGAACTCAACCAATGGTGCTGAAGCGTTCCAAAAGGGTTTCTATGTTTCACCCTTGTGTGTGGGTAGAAGGCCAACACTTTCCGAGAGCCTCGCTGGACTGTGACTGGTGTTCTGTGTTTCCTAGACCTGTCTCTCCGCCAGGTAGCTCACAAATTCAATGCGCTTATTTGATGTTTATCTCTCAACTGGTGGTTTCAACCCTCCCTGCCCTCGCTAGCATAAAGTAGCTGAATGGAGTCTCCCTTCCTACTCGTAATCCAACGCCCGCGCACATGCGTACGTCCGCGTTGACCACAACAAGTGCAAGTATATCGCGGCGGTAGCATGTCTAAAGCGCGCTCTGTACCTGGACCCGTTCGAGTGGATCGTGGCCTACAACCTGGGGCTGGTGCACCTCAGCACTTCGCAGTACGCCTCTGCCTTTCACCACTTCAGGTCTGTCAATAATTCCATCGTTTCTTGTCGCCGTTTCTCCGGTCGCGGTAAAATGTCGAACGTACTTCTTGCCTTCCCTAGCAACGAAAAAGTTGTCGTAATTGTTCTCAAGTCATTACACAAGGTGCATTTGTAGTATAGCTGTTTGTTCAAAGTACGACCATCGCGCGCTATTACATGAACTGTTTTTTGTGTCGTCATTGGAACCCTTCCTTTGCATAGGTTTCTGCCTGTCTGCCTATCGGTGTCGTTCTCTGCCTCTCTCGCTCAGCCTGTCTCTCTGTCTGTCTGCCTCTGTCTCTGTCTCTGTCTCTGTCTCTGTCTCTGTCTCTATCTCTCGCTCTGTCTCCGTCTCTGTCTGTCTGTCTCTCTCTCTCTCTCTCTCTCTCTCTCTCTCTCTCGCTCATCTTCTCTCTGTTAACGGACATGAAGTGCGGCCATCAACCTCAAGCCCGACTTCGCGGCGTCCTACATGTACTTGGCGATCACCCTGGCTAGGTTGGAGGACTTCGACAACGCCTGCAGTGCCTATGACAAGGTTAAACGCGACCAAGAACTGCAGACCTCCCATAGGATAGAGAAGCACAGCCTGTATCTTGCCCTTGTTGTACAGTAGTACAGAAGACACCAGTTTTTCGTCTTGACTCTCACCTACAGTATGACAACAACAACAACAACAACAACAACAACAACAACACCTATAGGACGGTTACAACGAACACCATTTTGACTGGAACGCTCCCATTCCGCAAATGAGGCCACGAGCTCACGGCTACGCACTCTGTGCCACCTCTTTCAGTCTGTATTTTTTTCATAGTCCACTAGAACAAGACATGGGGGCTTTACGCCAAGGTCCGCGAGGCTTAATTAATTCCACCATGTATTTGGGGTCCAGGGTCGGGAGAGACAGGCGGGAGCCACCGCAATTACCACAATTCAGAAAAAGAATACAGCTGCAATAACGCTACCGAGAGTTGCCGCTGAACAATTTTGACAAGTAAACTAACAACAGCAACAACGGCAACACATACTCAACGGCAACACATACTCTACACGGTTTTGTGTCATTTCTTTCAGGCTTTGGAGCTAGATGGCGGCGGTGGCGACTACCTGACCCATCTCAATTACGCGGTGACCCTGCTCAATAACGACGAGCCGGAGAGAGCTGCTGAGCACTATGCCAGCTTTAAGAAGATATTTGAGGTGGGCCTGTATGCTTGGAAAATTCATACGCGAGTTTGCGCTATTTGGTGATGACGAACGGGAGTTGAGTAAGGACATTTTTCGCGCTGCCAGTGCTGTTTCCGTGTTTTCCTTGAGTACCCTCTCTGGCCTGTACCCAGCACCTCTTGACCACCCATACAGCTGATCTTCAGGGTAGAGAGATGGAAAATATCTAGGGTCGCAGCACGGGACGGGTTGTGGGAAGGGGGTTCCTTTCCTCGTGGGCCTTGAGCCAAAGGCTGCCAATTAGGCAGCGAGTCAAAGGTAGGTAGAGCTCTTTCAGTTCAGGTTTCCTTGGTGGGGTATTTCATCATCATTGGGGATGTGCTCAAAATGGAACGCGACTTGTATCGGCATCAGCTAGAAAATGAACATTGTGCCCGTCTCCGCCGCGACTGTTTCGGTGTCGGTTTAACCGAAATAACCAAAGGCCGGCTTGACAGGATTCAATCGGTTAACGGGATGACCGATATATTCGAAATTCGGCTTTACTTTTTTGGCATAACCGGATTAAGTTTAACCGCAGACCCGTTTTCTGTTTTCCTTTTATTCGGATTTTTCTGTTTCGTTTTTTTTCCGGATTCTCCAGATTCAGTGTAACTGGGTTTCCGGTTTAACCGGATTACCCGATTTACCTGATTATTACCCCTTCAAGCTTTTGCGTAAATGGTTGGCCGGACTCGGTTTAGCAGAATAATGTACCCGTTGCCGTTAGTATATGATACCGGTTATCCAGAGGTAAAGGAGAATAATTTACGTGTTTGACAACCCCCCGTTCAGGTTGAAAAGGCGGGAAGCAACGTCGATAGGATAGATGGGCAAGGGAAAACGTTTCTATTTTGGAGACACCTTCGGCAAAGTAGGAGGGAACGTTTCGGTCCTGTGGGAACAATGCTCCGTCCTCTCGAGGGCCCGTGGTGAATGGTCGAACCGCTATGGAATACAAAACGGAAGATTACGCGCCCCCCGCCCCGTTCATGCACAGCGATCACCCCTACTCACCCGATTCGTTCGTTCTCTCCGCATTTGGCCCCCCCTGTTTGCGTTCGTGTTGAACGACGCGTTTTTCGCAAGGTGACTGACGATCTAGTCTACGACCCAATACCCACCGACGGATCCACCAGTCACTCACTATGATTGATTGACCTATCAATGAATGTTGCTTGCAGGCTCTCGATCCCGATACGGAGAGGGACCAGGAGGTGTTAGCAAGAAGTCAAGCGCTGGCAAACTCCCTTGGAGCGTCCTCATGACAACAGCAGTGACGTGGTTGGTCATGAGCATGTGGTTGTTTTGTGTGGTGGCGCTGTTGGCAACGTAGGTTACGACATAATTATAGTACTTGTGGTGATGATGTTCCTGTACTTGTCGGATGCTGGTCATGTTTGAGGCGTTACTGCCGTTGCTGTTGCAGACTTTGTCGTTGGCCTCCGTTTCTTGAAGTCGTCGCCGTTGTAGTTAAGGTACTTGAAGCGTCGTTGCGGTCATTGTTGCATTGGTTGTTTTCAGTGGTGTTGGGTGGCGTGGCGGCGTTGTCGGTTCATGTTTGTTGTTGCTGTGTGGTTTTTGCTGCAGAGTTGTCGGTGGCGGTCAGTTGACACTATTGTTAGCGTTGGTACAAGAGGGACTACTACGATGTCGCACGAGTTGCTGGCTGACTGAGTAGTGTAGTGGGTAAGCCGTTCTATCCAAGGATGCATGCACGGGTTCGAACCACGCCTGGCGAGGGGCCCGTCCTCGGCGATCCCTACTTCAAAATCCCAGTGACCAGCCGGGTGGCTACCAGCCGAGAGAATCTCTTTTGGCTGACTGAGTAGTCTAATGGCCTTCCTAACTTGCTGTTGATTGCTGACGACAACGTCGTAGCTCGCGCCACCCTTTCGAAGATGAATTCAACCTACAGTAGCACGGAACATGTTTCGGGTACACACGGAACCTTAAAAAACGCCTTCATGTCCATTCGCGCCAGGAAAACCATTCCCGCCACGCCCAGCTTCTTCAATTTCGGTACCCAATCTCACTCGCGGACAGACCGGCTAGACGTACTACGAGGATAACAAGTATCACCATGGATTCTTCATGAACACACGTACCAACACGCGGCAGCCCTCCGTCGACCTATGAGGGTCAGCGCTGAATCGATTATTTTTGGCGAGTGAATAGACAAATGGCAACACAGCAGTTTGTGGTCGCTCGAGAACCTCGCGACGTGCGCTTGCCACAAGCCACCTCGCAGCACGCGTGACGCTACTTCCCTCTCTACCTGGATGTTCGAGATGCGTCCAGTTGCGCTGCTCCTACGATAAACTCCACCAGTCTCGACCAACACCACCCGCCACTGTCGGCGTGGCAAGCGAGGCGGTGAATGGTTGGCAGCACGAAATTGCTCTCACAGTCGAAAACGAAAGAGCAACCGGAGTTCTTTCGACGACACCAACAACAACAACGAAGCCGCATTTTCGCTGTCTTCCGCGCACTGTACACACGACACCTAGGTCGGAGGAACAATCAGAAAATACTCTCAAAAGTTGTTATGTAGTTTCCCGCTACCGCGATGAAGGCGGCGAGGATGACGCAGAGGCAGCAGCAGACCACCTGCGGAACACGCGAGCAGATATGCCAGGATTGATGTCGGTTCATTGCGGGTAGGGAGGCAACTGAGCCCAGAGATCGTGCCAATAAGAATTTAGGGTAGATAAGGTCAACCCTCCCCGCCCTCATAGCTGTGAGGACGACAACTACCGTCCGAAGTCGGGATTGTTTTTCTCCAAAGTACTAATGATGTCACATGCTCGCGGCTGTTTTCTGGATAGAGGGCAGTACAGCCCAAAACCCACCCCATTTCATGCCCGAGCTACGGACTTGCCCTAACATTCCCATTCGCAGGGTGTTGCACATACCTTTCGCACACAACAACAGGATCTGCCACAAGAACTCTAGGGGCGACGGCAGAACAACCATTGAACCTGTTTTCGTCTCTCTTATTTCACTATATTCCTCCCTTCACGATGCAAATAAATTCTTCCAATGCTGCTTCAATTTCGTGAGCACTGCCAATGAACGAGAGTGAGAGAACCTGCAGCGCATGCTATCATCAAGAAACGGAAGGAGTGTTATCATCCCCTTCAGTCTTGTCGAAAGTTCACTATTCATTTGTCACAATTCCTTGCTCACGTTTCATTTCTCACATTGGAACATTTCACTTTCACCTCTTCACTTTCCAGCCTTCTGGTTTCGTTCTCCACGTGTCATCCTTCCGTTTTCGTTTGAACACGGACGAAAACCCAACTGTTTCTTTTTCTAACCTTGTAGAAGGCCTTTGGTCCGAGGAGTGACATCGAGAGGCGGAAGGGGTTGAAGGAAAACTTCATGCGTCCGGCGGGCGGGGGCAGGTACGGGTTCTGGTTGGGATCGTTTCTCCCGGCCCCAACCGGCTGGGCATCCGCAGTCTCCTTGGGGAGGAGCTCCAGAGAGATGAGCACCTTGCCTGGGCGAAAGTTGAGCAAGTGACAGCAGAAGTGAGGGAAAATACTGGGATGGTCTTACTCATTGAGCAAGTAACAGCAGAAGAGAGGGGGAAAACGGGGACGGTCGTATTCGTGCAAGCCAGTGCACCGTTTCGCCATATTGGGGTCGCGATCGAGTAGAGTCGGGAAGAAGAACGCCGAGGTATTTAGACTGGCCTACTTCTATGCCCGGAAAGAACCAAACGGGAATCGTTGCGATGTGTCTGGCCGGACTACTACTGAAAAACATGTGTGATACTGATTGTCTGCCACATTTTATTGGGACGATGCCTTTGAACGACTTGATTTGTGTTGTAGTACGTTTTCCTCCAGAGAATGTAAGGAGCACCATCTGCCTTGTGAGTGCCTGACCGGGTTAGCGCCGCGCACATCCTACAAGTCACCCCCTTTCTTTTCGGAGCTGAGGCTGTTCACCCTGCACAATACAACCCACCACATACATAGACATGTGACGGAGAATTTTGTGAACGAGGAGTTGAGTTTATTGATATCAGGTGGTTCAGTAACAGCTCGATAGGTTTGGGCAGCGCTACGAGGAGGACCACAGAAGGTGTGGGTAGGTTGTGTAAGCGGTATCTGAAAGAGGAATGAAAGCGTGTGTAAAAAAGTGTGGTACAGGTTTTCCGGCAAGCGCTCATGTCGTCGTCGGCATGCAGGGGTAAGCGCTTACCGCCCAGACCATGAAAGCTCGAAGTAGTGGGAAGCCGTCAGTTTCACGCAACGCCGCATCCAATCATTCGCGCCAAACAGAGAATCGTAAAACACGTTGACTTACCCATTCTCTCGACGGTTCCTGCCTCCGGATCGCGCCTCGTCAACTCCAGCCACTGAGCGTCCGCTGGTGCTTTTCCGACGCCAAACCATTCCTTTGGGCACCGGTTCGTATGAGATTTGGTGTCGATGGGATTGGTGGTGGCTGTGGTGGTGATGGTGATGGTGATGAACACCTCTGGTTGCTTTGGTCTCTTGCAAAGGGTTTTGAATCGAGCTGCTTCATGAATCGTGTTCAAAGATACAATAACTCCTGCTTCAAACATGGATGCAGAACGACTTCCGCAGTCGATCCATGCCGGTCGAGCATGGCGATCAGACACGATGAACCAATCCACGCACATCACACACCTTTATGGTGCTGACGACCTCGTCCGTCTCGTCAACCTCCGGTCTCCGCATCATCGCAGCCTTCACTCGCGGGTGTTTCGTCATCGCGGTCCGTTGACGCCAGAGTTGCCGAGTGGTTTTCGTGCGTGTTTGTTGCAACGTGTGCATCGTCAGGTTTTATATAGAGCAGCAGTATTTAGAGCGATACTTCTCTCCTATTTCAGCAGTGAGTGTCGGGCCGTGTTCAGCGTTGCGATTTCATGAATTTCGCTCCACACTTCTTCTCGATGACATGCGCGCCAACGACACGTGGGAAGCAACAACATCTTCCCCATCGAAGAGAGACGTGCACGACAAGACATGCCGACATTGAGAGTACGGGGGCGGCGGGGGGGGTTCTTACCGTATCTGCAATAAACTACTTTATCTATAATAAACTACCTGGGCGGCCTCTGTCGATTGTTTCGTTTCTCTATCTCTCCCCGCCGACCCTAACAGCGGTTGATTCTCTTCGTCCGATTGGTCTTCGCCATCGTCTTCGGTAGAGGACATCGATGAGTCTGCCTCGGTTTCAACGCTACGGTCGTCGTCGCCGTCACTATCATCGCTGTCATCCACCGCAGGTCTGATATTGGAAGAACGCCCAGACGAACGCCGCAAACCGTCGCTTCCACTGTTTTCACCGTCGCTGCTGCTGTCGCCGCCGCCGTCGTCGTCGTCATCGTCATTGTCTTCGCTGTCGTCATCGTTGTTGATGCCCCTGTTGCCTCCACCCACCCATCGTGCATTATTTCCCACTTCGCTGTTTCTCCTGCTATTTCTTCTTCTCCCCTTCGCTGTGTCACCCCGCCGTCTTCCTCTTCTTCGATCGCCGCGTCACGTGAGGAGCGGTGAGGGTGTTTGGGTCGTTCTTCATACGTAGTCACGGTCGACCATGAGAGGTCACCACCAACAAGCCGACTAGGGGTTGGAAAAGCGGGCGAATACTTCCCCGTCTGTGCACGATCCGCGGCCAATATATGTCAATCATGTGCCCTACAGGCGTCGAGCGGCTGGGGTGTGGCTCTGCTCTTCTGTGGCTCTATAACAAGACCACCCGGCTTCGGGGCCATGGGAGAAACGCAACATTGAGGCCCAAGCCATGTCCACAGAAAAAACGAAGACGGATAATACGGTGAACCCCGCCGGGGTTGGAGGAGGGTAGTATCGAGACGGGGGGGCAGCCTACGCGACGCAAGCAAAGAACGCACACACAGTGAGAAAAGAAGGGATTCCCTGTCTCTCTCAAGTCTTTATGAATACGTGCCGCGTACCCGTATTCCCATGCGTGTGGTTCCTCCGTGGACGAGGTTTCTATTTTTCCAACAATGCGGTCCTTTGTGCCAGACGCTCAATACGGAGTGATCGCGTCGCATCAACGCCCCAAGCTGACAAAAATCAGCATCGAATCGACGCCCAAACTCAACGGCCAGATAAAAACAGCCTGGGCACGCCGTTGACGGCCAACCTGCTGCACTCCCACGTACGTACCGGCGATCACCGCGCCTGTTACTTGGGCCGGCCTTCCTCTTCGCCCCTTCCACCCCTCCGAGGCCAATACCTCGGCCTGCGCGCACGGGTATGGACACGAGAGACACCCAACGGAAACGACGAAGTGCGTACTCGATACCCTGACCCCCAAGACCGACTGAAACAAGTTTTGGAGCTGCGAAAGGGCTATCACCCTACCACGCAAGGTCTCTGTCTCTCTTCCTCTCTCTCTCTCTCTCTCTCTCTCTCTCTCTCTCTCTCTCTCTCTCTCTCTCTCTCTCTCTCGTTTTCTCTCTCCCTCCCATTTTATTTCCCTCCCTCCCTGCCAGCCTCCTTCCCGCCCTCCTTGTGTATCTCTCCAATATATGTGTCGGGCACACAGACATGCACGCACCGGACGTGGGCACCCCTGAGACAAGGGCCATGGCGTCCTCGTGGGCCTTCTGTTTTCTGGCCTCCTTGACAACGAGGAAAGGCTTTGTTGATCGCTGCTCCCGGTATACCTGGGTTTTTGTGTCGTCGGCGCGTCGTCGTCGTCGTCGTTGTTGTTGTTTTTCGTGAATGTTGTGGTTGTTTTCGTCGTTGCTCACGCTTTAGCTCCGTGCTCTTGTCGCTTTCGTCGTAAAATCCTACGGTCATTAACTTGCATAACCCATCCCTTTTCGGACGGACGCCTGGCTTGACGGTCAGACATTTGCAACCACAACAACACGCTCTACACTACCTACACTGTTGATGTCCCACAGGCCTCTGTTTCTGCAAACCTTGAGAAACCAGCGGTAGAGGTCGATGGACGTCTCGGCGATGATGTCGTTCGCCGAGAGCACGTCGCGATCCCACATCTGATCATCATTTCCATGGGAATGCGTTACAAGGGACTACCCTCCTCGATGCTTTTCGATTTCGGTTTTCGGCTTCGTGCAGATCGACAAGGTCCGGGTAAAGGAATAGCTGTAAAATCCGAATTGTACTGTTTACATGCTTGCTTCTCTGTAAGCGAGCAGCCTCGGAAGTACGTGTTCGATGCAAGAGAGAACCAAAGGCTTTCATGTTCTACGAACAGAGAGGGGGCGCTAGGGTCTTCGTGACCTAGAGATGTCCCGAATGCCTGCATCCTCCCGTTCGGCTGACTCAGCGTGCCCACATTCTACCTTAGAGGAGGACCCGTAGGACCTGTATCTTGTCCACTGAATACCCTTGCTGTTCCAAAGGAATGAAGAAAAAACAGGATCTTCAATGAAGACTACGGCATCCGGTACGAGGTCAGCTGCACCGCAACGAATGAGCACGGCTTCTCCGACATTCGCTACGGTGCAGCTGACCTTGTTCCTGATGCCGGCGTCTTCATTGAAGATCCTGTGTTTCTCGTTCCATTGGAACAGCGAGGGTTTTCAATGGACATGATATCGGTCCCACGGGCCCTCCTCAAACGTAAAATGTGCTGGGCAGTCGAACGGGGTGTACGCTTCCTGCGTTCGAGGCCACGATATCACAAGCTAAGTTTTAAAAGTCAACGCGATTCTGACACGGAGGGTTGGCAATGTTGAATCCACATAAAGGCGATGCTAGAGGCGCGCATCGAAGCCACCCTCATTCAACCGTTGCAGGCCTTTCCTTTTCTAGAGGCGTTGCTTCGCCCTACCGCCTTTATCAATCTACGTAGATACCTGCAGCACCATTCGGCCATGCTCTGGGCTCTTGAGCGGGAGGTCCACATCGAACTTCAGGCGGTAATTCCATGACCCCTTTAAAGACACGGAAGAGGACGACAAGAGAGAGGGGATGGGAACGGACGGTTTTGATCAGCAAGAGGGGCCTACGCTCAGAGGAGGGTGTACATGGGCAAGGAAGAAGAAAGGGGGGAGGGAGATGGAGCGGCGAAACGGTATTGTCCGCAGTGCACGAGCCCCCGCGGTTAGTTAAGCTCTCCCGCACAGCTTGGGAGGGTCGTGGGTTGCCACTGTTGGGTGTTGGTAATGATGGTGGTGGTGGTGTAGCTGCCATAAGTAGTCACGGTGCTTCTTCTGCTTTCACGACAAGCAGGCGCTGTTCCTTCCCTCGTTCCCACCAATCACAAACTGCTTGCGTGAGCGTAGCTGCTGCAACAATCCTGCTTCGGCAAAAACAACGTCGAGACCAGCACAACATTGCCAGTAACGCAACACACTAATCATTCAAGAAAAAAGAAAAACTTGTGTTAAGATAGGGCCTGCACGCCGACGCGACTCAAGATAAACGTTCTACGACGAACAACAGCGAGCACCCGTGGACGAGGGCGAAAACAATAAACCAAGGTAGAGAAGCCACGAAACGCCCGGCTAAATTAATTTGGTTATGCGCAGTTGGTGCCTCCGTTCATGAGATGAACGAACAGGTACACCATTTGCTAGATCTTTTTTGTGGCATTTCGTGAGACTCCGCCACAACCGACACAACAACAACAGCAACGCTATTGCTAGGTTCCGTTGATACAGTCTGGCGGTGTCGGATCAAATCTATCGATGTGAAGTCCAACCTTCCCGTTCTTGCACCGCCAATGCGTGTCCGTGTCTCTCTTCTTCTTGGAGTCTGTCTCCATCCACATTCGGCAGTATAGGTCCCTCAGGCCAGAGAAGTCGTTACAGGCGACCACATCCTCGCTCCTCCAGACCACCACCCTGACTTCCACCTGCAGTGTTTGGTTTGGCATGCTTTGATTGTTGCCTCACAGCAGTTTGTGCGTGTGCCCACTACAATCGGCGTAACGCCCGCTCCGCTAGGTAGGCAAGGCCACCCTCTGGGGTTGGTCAGAAACCGTCTTCGGCGTGAGCGTATATATAGTTGTTGCTGGGACGCAGTGGGGAACAAAGGTATGTGCTACCTCGCTGGTGGTGGTTCTTTCGCTCTCTCTCGCTGCCGCCCTCAACCCCACACTCCTCTATTCCCCACGTCTCTCTCGGTGCAACGACATACGATTTTGTTTGTCATGAGAAACGAGACGCACTAGGTCACCACCACCTATGTATCAAAGCAGCGTGTCTGAATCTAAACGCTTCCGGGACTTGAAGCCTTATAGTTTTTCCTGATATATGTAAATTCAGCCTACCACGCAGTTCCTTGGGTATGCTCTCTCTTCATCCCAAAACCCTCCGATGGAGTGCTCGTCAACGTGGGCTCGTGTGGAACGCCAGTAATTGCGTCTGGTCTACCTTAAGGGGCGAAGGCGGCTCCATGGTGACTGGCGGATAGCGGCGGGCTTGCGGCAGGGTCAGGATATCAAGCCACATCATCACCTGGCAATTGGGAAGGGAAGGAAGGAGAGGGAGGGTTTCATCACAACGATCCCATCGCATCAATTTCCGTGTGCGCTGCTGCTTTGCCGTGGCGGGGTCCACGTTTGCGACGGCTCGTGCCTGCATTACATCCCCCCTGGTGTGCGAAGGCTGAGAGGCTCTCCACGGTCATATTGAGTTTTGAGAGAAGCATGCTTGTCAGCCCCTCCCGCTCTCTCTCTCTTTCTCTCTCTCTCTCTCTCTCTCTCTCTCTCTCTCTCTCTCTCTCTCTCTCTCTCTCTCTCTCTGGAACGTTTTTCTCTTCAAGAACAGATGGAAGTACAGCCATCGTCGCAGGCTTGGATTCGGGTCCGGGGCGCCCTTGCCTGCACGACAAAAGAGCCTCGGCGGGAATATCAGTGGCCAGGCCTCACTTCTTGCCTTCTTTGCTTGAACGCCGCTCAGACTCGACGGTTGTATCATGCGCAGGGCAGAGATTTTCCTACCGGGGTCCTTGGAAAGTTACCCGCCACAGAGTGAAGTTGCCATGAACCCAAAAACCGTAGCACCAGCAGCCTAGACAAAACATATTTCTTCTTCTCCAACGGGAGACAACCGTGGGCATCCAGAGGCAGGCGTGAGCCGGCGTTCCCTCTATCTCGTTCACTCACTCACCTGCCCCTGCGGGTTCGCGCTCGTGGGCACGGACAGGTCCCGCAGCTCGAGCGGCTTGTAGGGGCCGTCGATGCCCCTCCGCTCCGAGGCAACGAGGTCCTGGCTCTCCAGGTCGTGCCATCCCCGGCTGAACCACCGATCCTCGAGGTCTATCACGGTCTCGCCGATCAGCTCGTCCGCGCCGAAGCGGTCGTAGTCGTACAACTGATTGGGGGCAGGGAGAGAGAGGGACTGAGAGCTGAGAAGAAATAACGGAGCGAACGCCGGGGGCGGGGGGATGAGAGCTACAACAAAGGTGAACTGAAAACAACGGTGTTGTACACCTACCTAGGAGCACATTAGGTCGATGCGTTGCTGCAGGCCGAGAGGCCGTTAGCCGTTCAGGTACGAGGAAACGGGGCGTCGAGGGGTAAGGCCGATTGAGACAGCGATGCATGACGTCGTTGCGTGACTTGAAATCCGGACAGAGAACCCGCGGTTCTTCTTGCACCTCAGACTCTCCGTGCCCTCGACGTTATCCGGAGACGGATAGGCTGACTTTGATCAGAGACTCTATTGACAATAAGAAATTTTGAGGAGCGTTCTGATGTTTTCCTTCCTTTTCGTTGGTGACTTCCACTTCAGCATCCCCGAAACAGCAGTGACACCATAAAAACCTCTGACCTAACATTAGCTTCGGCTTTTCGCCGTATCATAAGCTCCATATTATCTATACACGCTTTCTCAACTGCTGGTTCGGTAGGGCAGGCTTCGTACCTTGAGCTTGAGCTGCGACTCCCCGGGCATGGTCACCTCGAACTCAAACACTCGGAAGAACTCTGGATTGAGGGTGGCCATCTGGATGTTGCTTTTATCTTTGCTATCGTCAAACCGCAGTTTCCCGACCTTGCGTTTCGTGCATGTTGTGTCCGCGTGTGAGAGGTTTTGGGTTTGGGATGAGCGTGCGCGAGGAGAGCAGGCACAGCGCGAAGCACAGGCCTGCCTTCCTGTTGAGTTTGAATACGTAAGCCTGGGGCTCCTTCCAATAACGGCGATACACAGGCAACGGCGCGAGTGCTCAGTCGATCCTAGTTTGTGCATGCAAATCTACCACGTCATAATGCTTAATGTTTCCTGGTAATGCATATCTCTCTCCAACCCTCACCAGCATGCATGCACGTACGCACGCTCGCACGCACGAACCCAATCGGCCCATCACGCCATCACCCAGAGCAAACCAAAGCACATGCACACGCCCATTCTAAATAAAACCCGTTTCCCATCTCCACCTTGCAACGGAGATAGGGGTCGGCGAGACCGTTCATGTCCTTCGGCTGGAGGTGCAACCCCTTGACCACGTACAGCCGACAAGCATAACTCTTGGGGGCCCTCAGCAGCCGCATGTCGACGAACTCGCTAGACTCGGGATCGGGCGGGGATTCGGAGACCGCAACGAGCCCCTTCAGCAGACCAACCTGCAGCCGTCAAGATAGACTACGTCAGGAGTTTGGGGCTAGCCTCAGGGTTCATTATGTTCAGGGGGGGGGGGGGGGGCTAGGTGCACGCGGTCGGTTCGGGGATTTTGATGATAGACCTTGTTTGAGGAGCAAGGATCAAGAGGGTTTTGATATTGGCTGTAGGCTTCGTGTCCATTTCGTTCGAGGGAGTGGGCAGGGTGCCAGTGAACGCACACAGCCACTTCGGGAGTATTTTTCGGAGATCCTGACGAAGAGTGTACGAGGTTGCTTAAGACGGTGCCGGATATTGCGATGCGCCCATCTCACGACACCAATCAGATTGACCGTGGGTTGCAACCCCTAACACAGTAGTGAAACACAGAAGATAAGCTTTCGGGAGAGCGCAATGGGTGCAAAATGACGAGCAGGTTAGATACACACGCCTTCGGCTGCACACAATAAGCAACATTGGGTTTTATCCCAGCCCTACTCGCAAAACGGTGGAGGAAAGCGACAAGAATAAACCTAGAAGCCTTGGGCATAGTGAGAGGGCAGGCTACTTTTGTTCTCCTCATTGGTATCCACCTTTCGCCGGGATGTTTGGCGGAACAGCCGGACTCCGCCCTTGAGCTTCTCAGCCCCGAGGAAGAGGGGGTAGTTCTCGAAAGGAGCGTTTTTCAGAAAGTTCTCAATCTCGTTACCGCCGCCGTCCCTCTTCAGCCACCTATCGTGCGAACGTGCGTGTGTTTAGTTTACTTGCATGTGTATTCATGCGTCCAGAAACCGCACAGAGATAGGGAGGGAAAAACAGTTTAGGGCTCACCAATTACGACCCTCCAGGAATTCGTTGCTAGCCCATTCGTTGGGGAAGTCGATGTTGAGTTCTTCGAGAGTCCACCTATCTTCTTCTTCTGCGTCGATCGCTCCCAACGCCTGTGCCGACAAAAAAAACAACAAGACGACAGTTGTTGTTGTTGTTGTTGTTGTTGTTGTTGTTGTTGTTTCTCACATTAGCCCTATAGTCCACAAAAATGGGGAGCCCGTGGTCGCAAAACCCGGCACATACGACGCCGCGGGGGAACAAAACAAGAATAGAGTACAAACCACTCGGAAAAAGAAAACAATATAATAGAAAGAAAAGAACAGCTACCGCACCGACCGGTCGAGAAGGAGCCCTAGGAAACCGATCAAAATAAAACAATACAAAAATAAAGGCAAAAATAAAAAGTGAAAAAGGAGCGCTTCCCACACCCGCCTAAAAAAATCAAAGGGTACCGTACCAGCGTCAGGCTCTACGCACCAGGGTATGGGAGTAATGGAGGCAACAGAACAAAGAGGCGGCCGATGGGCAGACAGCCGTCTATATAAAAGCAAAACCAACGACAAAAGGGGGATTAAGGTACCCAACAAGGCAAAGTAGGCAGGGAGGAAATGAAAAAAGAAGCACAGCACTGAGGCCAATACAAAGGACATACAGGAGTATAGCATACAGCAGGGAGGGGAACAGGGCGCAACAGTGATACGTGGGGGATGTGGGAAACAATAGAAAATTGCATGGGTCCCTGTGGTGATAAGGAGTGAAGTCCTCTGTGAAAAATTGTCGTACCCCGTCACGCGGTGTGCAGCGCTGCGCACATGACGTGCTTCAATCCGCGTATCAACAACAACTACTCAAGAAATTCGGTGGCAGATGCTTCGTGACTTGGGCCTTCTCTATATATCTACAAGCGTGTAGGGTGTATCATTAGACACAATCTTGTGTAGTGCTTTGTTGTTCTTTCGTGGGCACTGTACCGCGTGAAACAGCGTCGCAGCCGAGCACTACGGAGGCGTTCAGTGTAACCGTAGCCGTCTGCCTGAATTGTTTTTTCTCCTCTTCCTAAGCCGGGGCCAAGATGAGACATTGGTGGCTACTGAAAGCAACACGCTAACTGTCACGCAAACAGTGAAAACTATCAAACGAATCCACGACCAAGAGATGCAACACAGAAAAACGCCAAGAGTCTCACTTTCCCTCCTCCTTTGATGAGCTGCTCGTACCACGCCGGCGCGTGGCCAGCGGGCCTCTCGACGCCCCCTCTTTTACCAGGGTCTCCTGCTGCTGCTCTCTGCGTCCATCCGGTAACACCGCCGCCACCACCGCCGCCAGATCGGTACGGCTTCTTGGCGGCGATCGGGGTGTCACCAGCCCACCACGACAAGGCATCGGCCGCAAATGCCGAAGAGGTGTAACCGTCGTCGACGGAAGAGGGAGAGGGATGGGGGCAACGAGACGCCATAAGGGCGTCTGGGTCTTGTTCATCCACACGAATTGTTGGAGCGGAGTTTTTCTTGTTTGGCGTTGATGGCTGTTGCCATACGTTGTCAATGCAAGCTATGATGTTGTAATTCCTTCTCTTTACGTTGCTAGGGGAAGGACGAAGAGATGGGAGGCCTCAGAGTTTGCTCCCTGAAATTGTGCGAAATCTCAAGAAAATCGTCGACAAAACTGCACTTAACGCCGCAGCTATTTAGAATTGTTTCCAACCGCTTCTTCCGCCAGCGAAATGTACTTCTCTGTGGCTTTGTCTATAGGAGAATGTGTGTGTCCGCCTGCTTGCGTGTGTGTCTCTTTGTCTATTTTGCCTACCCATGTATCTCCCGCTGCCCCGTTGTCTGCCTACCATCAACTCACCTCGTCACCGCTGACCCTCCTCCTCGCCATTTCCCGACGGTATACCTGGTCTTCTTCGATGGGGGGCAACTCCAGCCCCGAACCCCTGTCGCCCCCTCCTATTCTGCCTCCGCCTCGACTACCGCCGCCGCCGCCGCCTCCGTCAGCAGCAGCGGCATCCACAGCTCCAACACCGAAGTTCGGAGGCCTGGCCAAGCTCCTCGCTTCCGCTGCTGCGGTGGCGTCTGCGGCGTCTGCGGCGGCGTCTGCTGTCACCGCTGAGGCGCCTCCCTCGGTGCTCCTTTGGGCAACCTCGGTGGGATCGGTGGCCTCAGCACCGACCCCTGCCGTTGCTGATGCTGCCGCTCTCTCGCCACCGCGGGGTCTCCGCGTCGGCGTGGGAACGCTCTTGTGGTCGTCAGCGGTGACGGTGCCGTCGGTTGCACGGGTTTGGGTGTCGGAAGGTTGTTGCCGACATCTGCCCTGGCGAGGAGGGCGTCTGCTGCTGTGCTTCGTCTCGTCGTCCCTCCCCTCCTCCTCCTCCTCCACTTCCTCGCTCCCGACATCGTTGTTGTGGGCCTTGTCGTTGTTGATTCTGCGGCTCCCGCCAGTCTTTCGGTCGTCCGGGCTACCCCTAGCTCTCGCCGGTCGCTTCCGTGTCCGGCGTGGCGAGTGCGTACCGCTGTCCATTTTGTTATTGCCGCGCCCGCCGTCGTCGGCCCTGTCTTTTCGACTGCTGAACGATTGAGACTTTATCCAAAGATGGGGAGGTGCATGCAAGGAAGAGGCCGTGCAGGGACAAGAGGTGGGATGCTGTTAGCTCCGTTTCGACCTACGTGTGCGTTGGTCAACGTGTGAGTATTGTCTCTACCCCTAAGACACACGTAATCGTTTCCCTAACACGAAACATTGCAGAGCTTTCACCTCCCGTATCAGTGGAACACCGTAAACTTCATCCCCCTTCTCAGATATCCACGTGGCCATGTAAATATGCAAGTGTCATGAATTCAGAGATACTCTGATCCCTCGCGATCCCGCCACGCGTTTCTTCACCTGAGGGGGGGAGTACCCCGCGTCGTTCCAGGGCATCTTCGTCGCGACGGCCACGCTACAGGTGCCCACCACGGGGTTGTTCAAGCCGGACATTCGCTTGTCCAGTACCTGACACAATTGTTTTTCCAATTTCATTTTTGTCGCCCGTTCCCCCCCAGCGCGTCGCCGGCCCCGGTTGTAGTAGTGACAAAGGCGGAGGCAGGAGAGATGCGAAGGGTGCGGGGTAAGTGAGGCACAGGGAGAGGAAAGACAGACGCCAGGAACGAGAGAACTGGGGGCGACAATTCGCCCATCCGCCCGGATCATATGTACAAGTTAATTTTCATTCGAAAATCGGCGCGCTATCTTTGCTCTGCGAAACTGCTGAATCACGAGATGGGAATCAGAAAAACACACCCAGCACCCCGGGCTCCACCCGTCCTTCGAGCTCACTCTGCTTCCCTTCGGAAAACCACACGTGCTAAACCACTGACACCGCATGCTTCATTGTTTTTGTCCGCCGGTCACCGCCGTGGACGCCGGCCGGCCTACCACAGAAGAATCTACACAAAACCCACAAGACGACCAACGTGCATAGATAGGCGGGTAGAGTGGAACATAGCAACGCACCCGGATACAGAGCTGCGGCGCGAAAAGCGGGTCCTCCGGAAGGAGGACCGTGCGGACCTTCCTCTCCGCGAAGTTGGCGTTCTTGCCGGAGGGGAACTTCGAAGCATGAGTTGTGAAGCTGACCCTCTCACCGCCCGAGGTCATCTCGAACTGCACGTACGGCTGCGCGACCGCCTGAGGATCGATTGGTAGATTTTGCAGATTTTTGTTGTTGCGTGTCAGGGAACGTGGACGATACAACGCCCCGGTCAATGGGGTGGATGGGCAGAATACAAACTGAGACACGCGATACGTATTGGCGAGCAGAGAATGAACCGACGGCAGGGGGGGCGTGAAAAGCGCAACAGGAAAAAAGAGAATCCGCGTGGCTTCAAATGTGCAAATGTGTACAATAAATACGCACCTGTTTTCCAATTTCTAGCCATGGCTTAGTTTACGTCCGTGAATACTGCATGTGTTCTCACGGAAAATAAACTCCAAAACATCTACACGTTCTGGCCTTAATCGTTCCACACCGTTTACCTACGACTTACGAATGCATCTTTGTCAGCGTCCACCGATCGATTCGCATACTTATCCCATGCTTCAACCGATACGGCAACGTAACTATCATTCGACGAAGACTGCATTCGCATGTGTTTTCCAATCAATCGATAGATCGATCTTCATTGTTTCACTGTGTACTCACTCTATTAGGATATGTATTCACTCTGTCACCTGGAAGCCAAAGGGCTTGAGGTCCCGCACGCCGACCGTGACGACCTCAAGGTAGGCCGTGCGAAACGTCGGGGTTATGTCCGGGGCCTTTGGGAACTTGTCGTGCACCGTGCGTTTTGGCATGAGCTACGTGATGAAGAGGATTGCACCCCATCGTATTCAGTTCATCCGGCCATCCGGTCCGACCCATCCACCCACACATTTGTGCGCCGAAAGGTAGCAGAAAGGAGGAAAGAGTGCGACGGGCAGACAAGAGGGAAGGGGAGGCCGGGGGCAATCATATTTTCCTTCATGTGGCCGTCGAAGGCGCGCGACGTTCGAGGTGGAAAGGCGCAGCGTACGTGTTATAAGAATTTACAGCGTCAACAACTCGTACCTGTAAGGAAATGAGCGCCTCGCCTACTCCGGGTTGCCCGTTCGTGTCGCGAAGCTTGAGGAGCAAGAACGCCGCAGAAGGGAGAAGGGTGGGTGGGTGAGGCCACAAAACATGAGAGAAGAAACTACAAACAGCGAAAGGCGATGATTGAACGACAGGGGGGTGGAAGGAACTGACACGTTGTACCGGTCAAGCAAAGCACGTTCGGCCATGCACGCTAGCCCACGTGTTGCCAACCATTTCAAAGTGTGTCCTACATTTGCAACACTCGTAGTCTTTCATGGCAACAACGTCTTACAATATTAAGTGCTTCAACAGCCGCCATGTCTAATGTTACGTTTGGTTCGTATTATTGTACCGGCCACCCGCAACACTTCCTCGTATGCCCTGGGGTGCGCAGCCACAAGCGTCAAGTTCAAAATAACAATGCATCCTGAATATATGGATATGAGAGAGAAATACCTGGTACCACTGGGGCGTGGGGACGTGAGCACTGCTCCCGCTAGAGAACGTTGCCACCGACATGGGAAAGCGGCATCCGGCGACGTGGGTATTGCTCCCCAGCACATCCTTGTCCCAGACCTTTAGGTTGTTGTTCCGTGTTGTGTTTTAGGGTTGTCGACGGCGGCGGGTCCACGGAAGTCAGAAATGTTTCGGTCGATTTTCCCGAAGGACGAAGCCCTCCAGATTGGAGAGTGACAAGAAATAAATATGACTCGGTATGTGGGGCATGGAATCAAAATATTGATACATGATAGGCATGTTAGATCTCACCCAGCCTCGCCGGTCTACAGTACATGAATGCGTGGGGCAAGACCTGCAGGCCAAGCAAGACCTACAGGCGAAGCTTGTCACAGATGACGTGGGTTCGCGAGGCTTGTTCAGTGAACGTACCTCACACTTGATGATTCGTCACTGCTGCTAAAACATTCAAAACTCGTTGTACAGCAATAATCCTGACGTCGTTGCAAATATACTGATGATGAACACCTCGCCATTCCATCGTCGGGTTTAGGGGGCGGAATGTGCCCCTCGTTCCTCCAGTGCGTGTTAGCGAGCGGTCTATTCATTTGTGACAATTTCGACCTCACCTCAACCCTTATCTCCGGAGCGAACCTCAGGTCCCCGGGGAGCATCTCGTGGAACTCCACGGTCTGGTAGAAGCAAGGGTCTGCCGTGCTGCCCTCGTGCTTAGTCTTCTGCTTGCGGCCCATGAATCGCACCTATTGTTTCATATCCATCCATTGCAAGGTGACGTTCAGCGAGTCGATTTATGGTTGGATGGGAATGAATAGACATTCATCAGGCAAGTATCACTCAAGCCCAGTTGTCTGTCTCCGCCCGAGAAAATGGAAGAGGAGAAGTGAAACCAAGACGGGAAATGAGGAAAGGCGGATAGTTTCGCCTGTGAGCTGCAGAGGTCATTCAACCTGTCGATCCTAGTAGTGAACCGCAAGCCGGGCCTGAAAGCACGCCGACATCGAACGCACGGGAGGAATACCCACGCCGCACCCATACCGCATTCCCAACGGCAACCGACCTTGATGTAAGGGTCGAGAAGCCCGCTTGCTTCCGAGCTGGGCAGGTCCCGGCACTGAAACACGTGCACCCTGAGACAGTAAGGCTTCTTATGCCCTAGCACTCCCCGCGCCACCGTTCCAGCCGCCGTTGCCGTGGTGTCCGCCGGCGTCTCGCCGTCGTCTTCCTCCGCGGTGACAGCAGCGGTTAGGGATGCGGTCCCGGTAGCGGGTTGCTGCAGGAGACGATTTGATGCGTTTCGTTCGTGTTGCTGTTAGTGGTGGTGCGGTTGCTGTTTTTGCCGTAGTCATCTTCACGTTCACAATGTTTGTGGCCCCGTGTTTCCCTTATCTTTTCGGCGAAGACACGATCTTCCGTGATCACATCAAGGGGAAGTAGAAACCCCTCACAGGAACGAAATTCGAACTCACTCCTTCCTCTGTAGATGAGCCACAATCGCAGCGATAAGAGACTTGTTTTCTTCTGTTGCCAACAAAACTCTCACGTTCCTTCGTCGAACACCTTTGGAGCAAGGAGCATGTTTTTTCTCTGGTGTGTGCTTCCAGACTCTCACTCATACTTGGCGCTGCTCTTGCCTGACGCACCCACCTGAGAAAGCATTAACATCTCTTCCCAAGGGTTATGCCGGGCCACGGCATCCCTCCCGAGCCCCAGCCGAATCAGTAACGATCCTGGGAAATTGTCCGACCCTACGGCCCACAGCCCCTGCCGCGTCCTGTCCGCGACTAATTCTTGCCTGATCGATAAGTTTTAGTGGGACAGGGCGGGGGGGGTAGTCCAACATTGTCGGGTTTCCTGTGACACCGGTTCTTCGCGGTGCTTTCTCTAGGCCCCCTCGGCTTGCCCCCACAAGAGTAAACTGAGAGCTAGGTTAGTACCGTATACTTCAGCGCTAGAGTAAATCATGGTTAGCACACGTTGTCCTCGTCATGCCGAACGACCGATGGCCCAACTATTTTGCTTTGCTCCGCAATAGACTACCGTACACCCACCATGCCTCCTGTCGTGGTTGCAACGTGAGTGAGGGGACAGGCTAGCGATTCCCATGGTCGGCGTACATAGTCCTCCTCGTTTCATAATCCACACAGTTTTCCCTTCTACACTGCAGCAGCGATCAGCGATTGACTACACCCTAGCAGGATTCCTCCCTACTTCGAGGTTCCCAGGCTACGCGCTCTTAAACCTCGTAGCCCGGGTTGAAAGGGGCTCGAAGAGTGATCGCAGCAGGTTGACCATACGTACAAGGTCTTCACATATTATATGCCTAATGTTGGATGTTGGTGGCGTACAAGTCCTCACCAGTGGGGATCTCCCCGAAATCGCTTCGACATAACTTCGACGGCTGGTATTCGGGCGTAGCTCACACGGGACTCCGGCATATCTCGGACCTGGACAACCGAGAAAAGTGTTTAAATTGCGGCACCGGTTGTAATGTAGATTGGACAGCAGCAATGGAACCGGATGAATACACGTAGTCTACAGTAGTTCGGTGAACATCGCAAAAAAATGGCAAGGCGGTGCGAGGAGACAGGACAAGCACAACTTGACATGATGTACACAGGGCATGGAATTCTCGTTTGCACGGAGTACGCTCAAACCGGATTGGATGACATCCTTCCGAGGCGACAAGGAACAAGGACGGCGTCGTAGCTTAAAGAAACCACGGTACAGATCAAAAACAAGCAACGTACGCTCCGGCACCGTGGCATTGAATGCAGGCTGCATTTTGTGCGTTTTTCCCTTGAGTCTCTGACGCCAAGCGGGTAAACCCGAGTCATCTGTCGTCGATTTAGTCCCACTTCTCTCTCGTACTATTTGCCGGTCAACAGAAAATGAAGAATTCCCCCACGCTGGGATCAACAGTCATCATCACCGACAGCTGCCGGGAACACTATAGCCACCTTCCCTCCGGAAAACATGACAATACTATATTTGCCTTGTACGAAACTGTGCGCGCTCCTTAACGCAACATTTCGATTGCCCTGCCTGAATCTGGTACTTGCTCGAGATGCTTCACTCACCAGGTACACGAAGATGTCTGGAATTTGCGCGGGGTCAGCAGGAAGCTCCAGCATGTGCAACTTTGCACACAAGCGATCAAAGGTGAGGCACGCAGGTGCATGGGAGCAGCGAGGAAGATTTGGGAAAACGACCTAGTGAAAAATGTATTTCGGCGATACTGTGCTTCCTCTACGAGAAGATGGGGCACACCCCTCGGTGCAGTGTATCCAATAGGTGCACATTATGTACCATGCGTGGTGGGATCCCAGACTCTTGGGATCCTGACATTGCCAAGACGGAGAACGTATGGGCATTCACAAACAAGGCAAGCGTTGATTGCATCCGAACGTCACTAAGGGTGTTGTGTGAGTCGCGTAAGTGTGGACATTGAAGATCCCAAAACCAGAGGGAGGAGAGATGAAGATGGTCTGCCTGAGGGTGTCATGGAGTACCATCCCATGGTCCATAAACGAGTTCGAACACCACCAAGATGAAGCTTGCAATGTTGGGTTTTTGGTCCCCTCGGACCCAAACCAGTGAGCGTGGATACGGCCAACTCTTCCTCTGTAACAACCTCTACTCCGCGATGTGCTTTCCGCAATTATGCACGGCCATAATCACCACGTCGAACCAATAGTGCTTTTTCGGCTTAACAGCTACCCCGGTCAGTTATGACGGCATGTGTTGTTCTCCTTGAGAGCAACATATGCCTCAAGCACAAGTCAGCCGACCAGCCAACCCCTTCGGGAAATGAACGAATCTCCTGATCCTCGACACCTCCTATTCAAGAAATACGTCGATACAACACAATCCCTTTTTCACTCTCGATGCATTGCGTTGTTCCCCGCCTTACCACCAAACATGGCGTACGCGCCTCCTCAGACAAGGAAATTTACCGCCAGCTTCGCGGGGTGTGGCATGTGGTATTTTCTCATGTGTTCACACCTCGTCTCCCTCATTCCACTCCACGATGCCCTTGCGGTTACTCCTCGCCCGGAACTCAAGCTTGGCCTGTCCTAGCGTCACCACGACTCTCATCTTGGACGCGCCCTGTAATTTGGAGCCAAGTCAAGGGTTAGGCCTGATGGGAGGGGTTAAGCTGGTACTACCATCCGATTTTGGGTTTAAGTATGATGCCTGAGTATATGGGTTCAGGATTTCCTAACTGTCTCGTCAAGAGCTTCGGGGTACAGGCAGGGCTGGGGAAACGGCAATGACGCACGATGATGGATTTAGAGTAGAAGGGAAGGAAGCCCAGCGTTGCCAACAACAAACTCAACCTGATCCTAGAAACATCGTGTGGAATTATTGGGTTGCAGTTGTTTGGCGCTCACCCCTGTTCAGCGTTGAGATCTGAAGAGAATAAGGTGGCATACGATGGATGTCAGGCCCCTTTCTGACACCTCCCTCTGACAAAGCCGAACCAAGCTGTTTGAGTCAAGCATCTACACCTCGAAGGCCCACTTCGTGTGTGGATTGGGCAAATCTACTCTCACTCTGCCGTCTTCGTTAGCCTCTGGTGAGTTCTTCAGTTCACGACAACCAACCCTTATGCAGTATATTACAGTGCAATGTTTGGAATCAAACGATACCTGAGCGTTGGGGAACTTGAAGACGGGGATATCTGACCCCTGAAGAACCAAAGCGCGCAGAGTGTACTTGGCGGTTTCTGGCATGATCGTCTCAGGAGGCAACTCGAAATCCATGGCGCTTTCGACGTTTTCCGTGTTCGGTCGAGGGGGCGGGAATGGGCGGGAGGGGAGCATTCACGAAAAAAACGTACAAGGGAACCAAATATAGGCATTGGGTGGAAACGTTGCTTGATTCGAACTACGGTATGCGTGTGTGTTCAACGGTAACATCGATGGAAACACTACAAATGCAGAGATAGCTGTCGGATGGTTGTTACAATATCTTCGACTTGGGGATGCCGTGCTTTGTTCCGTGTTCGTCCCACTCCTTCGATTGCAACAGGCTTAAGGCAAAGGTGCTTCATTTTTTGTCCAACTCTTCCCGCTGTCCGTGAACGGTCGTGCCAAACCCTGACCCCACACCATCCCTCTTGTTCCACACCCGTCGCCCCTAGTCTGAATCGGCTACCATCCCTTCCAGAGTTCACCTTCGCTTCCCTCTGTTTCCCAGCTTTGACGGGGGCCGGGGCTCCACTCTCATCGCCACCAGCAGTCTGTGTATGGTGGTCAGGTAGTGTCCGCCCGACAAGTTCACATCAGATGGGAGAGGATGAAAAAGGTGGGTGTGTGCCGATTGTACCAAGGTAGAGAGCATAAGAGTCGATGACGGGGTAAAACACTGTTACAACGTAGGTCGTGAAAAAAACGATTACTACGAGTGTACCAGGTGGCGAAGAACAACTGTATACCCACAATCACGCCGCACCGCCGGAGAAACACAGCATGCTTCTTGAGACAACGCATCTAGGAGTAATGAATGCATCTACAATACAGGACCACCAAAAACGATAACAACAACAACAACAATTAAGGATACCATTGCCAGGTACCTGCCACGGTAGGCGGACCCTCTGCTCGGGTAACGGTTCATTATCTCCGCTTCCCTCCCCTTGCTTTTGCCGGCGGGAGCCCCGTACAGGTTGATCCACTGGGGGGGTGGCCCCGGGTACTGCTTCACGCGACGTCCGAACAGCCCTCGCCTGTTGATTGATATGTTGTGTCAAAGGGTCCTCGGTGTTACGTTTGAACTGTCAGGTGTTGGAGTTTTTGCTGCGGTTCCTACGTAAACACGGCGATTGGTTTCCATTGAACACAGCAGGAAGAACTTCAACAAAGCCAGTCACGTTTTAAACCAAAATGAGATCTTCTGGATCTACAACCACAACAACCTTTGGCAAGAACGTAAACGCGTGTCCATGCGCTTACTTTTTCTCCCCCTCGCCAGCGTTCTTCGCAGGGGGCGTCGCGGCGATGGCGTTGAAGTCGAAGTACGCGTGAGCGATGATCTCTCTCCCCGTCATCTCTTTGTGCCACATCGACAAATCGATGGAGGTGGAGTGGGTGGGCACCATGACCGGCAACCACAACTCCTGCGCATCGCCATGTGATGAGAACAATGGGAAACGACGTATGAGAAGTGCTAGGACGAAACGTGTAGAAGTGAGAAGGTAAATAATCGTTTGCGTACAAACGGGTGGCCGAGAGGTGGCGGGGGAGAAGTATTGGGGGGGCGCTGTTGGATGGGGTTGTGTTCAAGCTCATGCTCATGCTATTGTTCATTCGAAGTTTCTTGTTCGCGTTGGACCTCATGATTGTTGTCGCAGTCGTCGAAGCGTGAAGTCGATGCACTAAGTTTCCTCTATGGCACGCTAAGAATTCGTCGAAATACTTGGAACAAGAAGCATTAACTTGAGGAACGTGCCCAACGCTGCCCGTTTCGTTAGTCTTTTCCGCTGCTCAACACGAAACACGCACACCTCACACGAGAAATTGGTGCGGAGTCTGTCGTCCAACCTCTTCCCCGACCCCCCTCGTCAGGAGGACCGCGAGCAAGCACGCTTTTGTTATCTCGTGCTTTGGATCCCGCTGGAAGCCTGACATCTTTGATTGGCCAGACACTGACTGCAACGCGGTCGAACCCAATTAAGGTATAACACCGACGATGAGTAGAATAATTCGTGTTCGCGTTTTTTTCCTCTATAAGTCTAACTGGTTTTGCGGGATCAATGCTAGTATTACAGGATCACAAAGGCAAACAAACAAAACACGCACGCACCTGTGCCCATCCCGGGGACAACCCGTCGCGCCCTTTGGCTTTTACCGCTGTGCTGCGAAGGGGAGGGTTACCGGCGAAGTCCACCTGTCGATGTTGTCGTCGCCGTCGTCGTCATTTTTCGTGGTGGTGTTGTTACGCCAATGTATGGGAAGAAGTCGTTACGCGCCGAGGACGCGAACAGTTGGGTAAGGGGGCGTTAATGGTTTTGGTTTAGGCCTCACGGGAGGAAGACAGCATCTAGTGTCCCCATTTCGTGCACGGGATGCAGAGGTTTCACGAACACCCACGTTGATCGATACAGAACAGGCGTCAGTTTAGCCCGTTTGTTGTCTTTTCGACCACCCCTCTCTCTGTGTCTCTCTGTTTGTCCCTCTCTCCCTGTCTGTTGGCTATCTCCCGCTCCCTCTCTGCCCATGTTATCAGCATACATACAGACGTCTGTGTTAGCACCTTCCTCGTTTTGTATGAAGTATATCGTTTTCACACATTTTCTTCGTTCGTCTCGTGTTTTGCGCACGCACCTGAACAAGAGCGTTCACCGACGGAATGCCGACCGAAGAAAAGCCAGGCAGCCCTTGCGCCGAGAACACGTACACCACCAGAAATCGAAGTTCCTGGGGGATCAGGGCCGGGCCCATGAGAACAAGCCCTCCCCTGCCCCCACCCCCGGTCTCCGCCTCTTTCGCCAACTCCTCCTGATCAGGTACAAACACGATACAGATCGCTTGTATCGAACAGAACGAAATCGAGCCTCCGCGAAATTTCCCCCGTTTCATGTGAGCCGGAATTCCATGCGCGCATACAACGGATGAGGTATTTCCTGGCATATTGTTGCCCACGACCGGTGGTCGTCACGTGACGAAAGTGCGAAAACGAGGAACACCACAGACGGGAAGAACCTATTGAGCACCGAAGGACAAGGAGGGGACGTCGTTCGAGTGTGGCAGGCCCGTGTTGAAGGTGCAAACATAGGGCATCGAGTTCAGAGTACAAAGTTTCACGTGACAAGAAGGCCATTCCTGCCTTTTGCCGTCCTATTTTCTCCTGTCTCGACGAAGTAAACCTCCGGTAGTCTGTCCCCCAGGCCATCTAGTGGTTACCCTCGCAAACCCTACTAGGAGCACACGTTGTGGGTTTATTTCCCTCTCTGGAGGTGTTTTATCCCGCAATATGCAACATGTGGATAACGATGAACCTCGTGAGTAAGTCAAAGTATACTCCGACTGCACGGTCGACGAGGGCAAGGGATGGCTGAACCCTGTTCGCGAGATACACGAAGGGGGGCGCCGCAGAAAAAAGGTGTGATTGCAATGAAAAATAAACAAACATATCTGGGAGGCCCTGCTGACCACAACTGAGGCATGGCTACCTGCATCTCCTCGACCATGTCGTGCACCCTCTGCCGGTCGCCCGGCCCGAGGACGGTAACGCTCAGCTTTAGGAAACCCTGGACGCTGCTTCCCTCCCCGCTCTCCGCGTCCCGCAGCGCGACCCACACGCGATACACTTCGTGGCCCTGTGAAGGCGCAAGGATTGCCGTGTGAAGTGTAGGGGGGGCGTTCGACGGTGGGCACGAGGGGGGGGAAGGGGGGGGGTTAGGAAGGAGGGAATGGGACGGGAGGAAAAGCGCATTCGTGTTGGCCTCACGGTGAGAGGAGAAGTAGGAGACATTGGCTGTGACATGCAAACGACGACGGAAAGAAAAGAGTGCCTTGAATCTGCGCGGTCGAGCTTCTAGAAATCTCAGGTTTTCCGTTTTGGTGACTAAGGACACCCGGTCACGGGACGATCGAGAATAACATTTTCAAGTTCACAAGACACACAGGTGTAGAGACCACACAACAACGACGAAAAGAAACCGGCGCCGGACTCCTCCGGGAAAGGAAATAGCAAGTACCAGACATCTCACACACAAACCACAGCACACTTAAGTTCTCCACATATTTTGTAGCACATGGCACGGATGTGTATCGGAACAATACGTAACATTCTAGACACAACACCGAAATTGGTTTCGAGCAGTGCCGTCCGCGGATCAATCAACCAACCACGCCCACGCCACGATCGGTCGAAAAGACTCGGAATCAGACACCTTTTCCACGTAGATCCCGAGGAGGTCGAACTGGTAGCTGCCGATGAGTGAGTCTCGGAGGAAAGTGTTGGCGTCGAGGACCCGCAAGTTTACCGTAGCCTGCATCAGCTGGTCCCTGTGTAGCGAATACGTAACCGATTGCATCGATCTGCGGTTATCGCACTATTGCCTGTTGCGGTCGAACCACGCTCCAGTGTTGATGCCCGTTGGATGGAAGACAATGCGAAAACGAAAGCACCAACCACCCCTTCCCTCCACGTACTCGGCGTATACTCCTTTTTCCACACCCAATTGTACAACAGCACCATCACGGATTCGATTTTTGTCGGCGGCACCTGGATAGGTTGGGGAGGTTGAAGTAGAGCACCTCGTCGAAGACCGCCGAATTCACCCCCTTGCGGACCCGTGTGTGTTTGGTCGTCCCCAGGCAGGAGGCGTGGACAATGGGGTCGCTGGTGCCCGAGGAGTCCTTTCCCTTGAGGTCAGATACCTCGATCACGTGGATCTGATAAATTTGGCGTTTGTTTGTCACAACAGCAGCAGTTGTTGCATGCAATGATGGACGTAAGAACATCTTTCTCAACGATATGAAAAGTATATACTAATTGTTCACAGGAACCGAAAGGAGAATCAGAGGGAGAAAGGTTAAGCCAAGCTCACCCCTGCGGTAAATGGACGCCTGAGGCAAAATCGATTCTGTGGCGCTTTTGTGGGAGCCAAACGAAGAACCCTCGGTGTCCGACATGTCCACGAAGCCTCTCCGACCCTCCCACCGGATACGAGCTACGTAGGGTAGAACTCAACCAGAATATGCTAGCATCATGCTGAGCCGCACCCAACTCGCTCCTAGACTTCCGCACGTTTTTATCCTGCTGTATTGTGTGCTAAGCCTAGCCCCCGCAGACAGGTTAATAGTCGTCGCAGCTGTAGAGGTCACTGACAACCATGGACTTGATAGACACGCCAGTAGATGAAAAATACGAAACAAGGAATCGCCTCATGCGCTCCCACCGCTAGAAAAAGCGCGATCTATTTTTGTTCATCTCGTCTTCTCCTTTCGCCACCATACAGATCTAACTTCTACGATGTGCTCCCTCCTTCTTCATGCACTAGTCTTCGCTGCCTGCACAGAGCGCACACCCTGTCGGCTTGGCGAAACTCACCCTGGTGAAGATAACGACGTTTCCTTCCATTTCCATGTGTCGGTGCGTGCGTGTGAAATTATTTGGGTTTACTCAACAGCTTTCTGCCTGTATTAAGTTTGAGGTATCACCTGCAACTGGTAGTCGCCCGGCCTGACTGCCGCCAGTCGGTCTTCGAACTCCGCCCTAGCGGCCAAGGCCTGGGTCTCCCTTGCCCTCTCCTCTTCCTCGAACTCGTCCACCTCGTCCTCGGCCCCGCGGGCCGACGCCTTCGCCGTCTGGTTCATGCAAATGTTCAGTGTTGTCAACGCCAGCCATCCATATAGGTGCATCACGAACCAAGCGGTTGGATGCACCCAAACCACTCATGGAGACGGATGGCCTTCCAAACTGGACATTGAGGGTGTGGTTGGAGCGGCGTGCGGCTCGGCCATGCATAACACGCTCGGCCTGCCCGCTGGCCCGACCTTCCCGCCCTCTGTCCTTGTGATTCTCTCTGGTCTCGCGTTGACAGTAGGGCTCCATGGTTTCTAGCTGCGATTTACTGGTGTGTTCCTATTAAAGACGAGCATTTCGCAGTACTTCCCATCCTGCCTACGTCTGTAGAACTTGGCGCACAAGATGCATTGCTGTTCCATCCGAGGTGTCTACGTCGTTGCCGTTGAGTCTTCATCCAGAAAACGTATTAGAACTGAACCAATGAATGTGCAAAAAGTCCAAGGCTGCAGGCAACATATGTAGCCCCAACGTTTTGACCTACTCTATGGTGTTTCCTGGTCTGGTGAAGACTGCCCATCCGGGGCCACACCCAAGAATTCTACCGCCGCTTCAACCTGTTAGTCTTATGCGTCTGCAAATACACCGCAGCTCGTCCGATGTTTGTGAGGGTCCTCCCGCCCTCCGTGTGATCAGTGTTTTGTTTTCCTTAATCTGGCGTTGGCCGATGGTTCTCGTCTACTATTTAGCTTATGGTTCTTTAGAATGGCCCGCTCGGTTCCGAAAACATCCAAACAGCTCGTTGTAACCGATAACAGAAAGGGACGAAGTACCTCGCTCCTCTTGTGGTCTTCCTCATCGTTGTCGTCCTCGTACTCGAATTCACCCACCATGCTCTCTAGGGCCTTTCTCTCCCGCTCTCGCTTCTGCGACCGAAGGTGAAAGGGACAGGTCTCAAACCAGGAGCGGAATTTGGCGGGTGTAGAACCAAAGTACCGCCGACAATGCCGACACCGAGAGCGGAACAAAAGCAGGAACAACGATAGGACCACCACCAACAACAACAACAACAAGGGGTCAGGCCTTGAGCCTCGGGGTCCGGTAAGAATCATTGATGACACCATGGCTCTTCTTGTGCGCACCCTGACAACCACCACATTGCGACCAGCCTACCCTCACAAGCATCTTGTTTCGGAGTTTTTGTTGTCACATGACATGCAATCAATGCAAGAGATGTGCACTCATCCCTCTTGTTGACGAGCTGGAGGGTCAACAAGTCTATCGCCCCTCCCCCCTCTCCTCCTCCCTCCCTCCCTCCCTCCCTCCCTCC